AGTGCTGTGATATATACCTAGTAATGGGATTGCTGGATCAAATGGTATCTCCAATTCCAGGTTTCTAAGGAATCACCATACTGCTTTCTACAGTGGTTGTGTCACATCTTGTCTGGTTTTTAGTCACTGGTGTTCAATGTGTCAAATCTATTCCTCACATGGTCTCTAAATGGAGGTGGGATATTTTGGGCAATTTACTTCTATACTGATACTGCCTTGGAAACCCAAGGGGGGGTTCTTTTTGGTTTGGTTCCACTTCACGACAGTGAGTTTGGTTTTTGATACTCAAGGTCATATCATGGCTTTCGTGAACTTGTTTTAATTTTCCTCAGCTTCAGCTTGAAATTGCATATGAGCAACTGATGGTCTGTTCTACCATCATTGATGGTGACTATCATGATGGTCAGCTCCTAACCTTTTTTGGCTGAAGATATTAAGCTTCTCCATTCCCTCTTTCCACAGATGTAGTCAATCTGATTCCTGTGTATTCCATCTGGTGAGGTCTACATGCACAGCTGCCATTTTTGTTGAAAAATGATATCTGCCATGAATAACTTGTTTTTGCAAGATTCTAGCATGTGATCTTCAGAGTCATTTCTATCACCAAGGCCTATTTCCCAAATACTGATGATTCTTTGTTTCCAACTTTCAGATTCCTATCACCAATAATTATCAGTACATCTTGATTGCATGTTTGGTCAATTTCAGACTGCAGAAATCGGTAAAAATCTTCAATTTCTTCATCTTTGGCTCTAGTGGTTGGTCCATACATTTGAATAATAGTCATATTAACTGATGTTCCTTGCAGGCATATGGATATTACCCTATCACTGACAGCACAGCAGTGCAGGATAGATCTTGAAATGTTCTTTGTCGTGATGAATTCCACGCCATTTCTTTTCAATATGTCATAATGTTTTTACTGGTCAATTCTTTGAGAAATGGATGGCCCCTTCCTTCTTCTCAGTCTGTATTAGTCTGGAAGGTCTGCTGAAACCTGCCCACCATGGGTCACTCTGCTGGTATTTGAAATACTAGTGGCATAGCCTCCAGCCTCAGAGGAAGAGCAAACCACCATATTACAACAAATGGGCAGACAAGTGAATTTTTCCTACTGAGGTCAAAATCCAAATGGCAACAGATTTGGTTGCTATGCAACACATACACTGCCCTCATTCAGGTCTAATTACTGAACTTTTATGAAGTAGTTTGAAGTCCAGTTATATACACACATAAGTATTCATGTGTATATTTTAATCTTATGACAACTTATGATTTTCCAAATTTTCCACTGTCTTATCTTGTTTGAATAACACTCACCTGCAACATGTCCCATGGATTTTATGTTGATCTTTATCATCATGCAACTTGGAGATTTGTCCAAACAAGGGGGACCAATTGTTATTCTTCAGGAATCGCAACATTATATGATCAGTGCACAACTTTTCTCCATCAGTAAAAGTGACTGGCCCAATAATTTAAGTGGAAGTTCACAAAGTAAAACAAAAAAGAAAGGATTAGAGAAAAAAAGGCTGCTGTGA